TATCTAGCATGAAAATTGTGGGCGTCACAGGCTTGGGTGGTTTGCGGGCGTTAAAGTGGGCGTGGCAAACTTTTTTTGGGTCAATCGATAGGTTTTGATGAGAGCAATACAATTCAGTTAAAATTTTTATTCTAGCATTAAAACTGTAGGAGCCACAGTTTTGGGCGGTTTGTGGGCGTTGCAGTGGGCGTGGCACATTTCTGAAACAAACTTGCGCTGTGTAAGAAGCCTAGCTCTTAAAGTTTTCGAGATCTCAGCGTTCATCAGGACACACGGACAGACGGACAGACGGACAGACGGACATGGCTAGATTGACTCGGCTAGTGATCCTGATCAAGAATATATATACTTTATGGGGTCGGAAACGATTCCTTCTGCCTGTTACATACTTTCCGACGAATCTAGTATACCCTTTTACTCTACGAGAAACAGGTATAAAAACACCAAAGATATTATTTTTTAAAATCCTTTTTCGATTATTTCTATGGGTGTTAAAAGATATAGTTGCCCGATTCGGCTGGTTCCGACTTATATACTACCTGCAAAAGATATACGACCTTTGAGAAAGTTACAGCCCGATAGCTTTAAAACTGGGAGACTAGTTTTCGTAGAAGCGGACGGACATGGATTGATCGACTCGTCTAGTCATGCTGATCAAGAATATATATACTTTATGGGGTCGGAAACGTCTCCTTTACTGCGTTGCGAACTTCTGACTGAAATCATAATACCCTATGCATGCGTATAAAATATTTTTTAAAAAAAGTAAAAAATCTAGTGTTGTTGGTTTTTTTACAGATTAACTTATAATCTTGAAAATTTCATTCTTTTAATATTTCAGAACTTGGAATAAAAGTTTAAAAATCGGACGATTTTATCATATATCTGCCATAGGAACGATCGAATGATTAATGTCAAAATGTTACAAGAACCGCTAATTTTTGATTTTGGTTAGTACAAAGCTACCATGGGAACGACCGGCAATGGTATAGATACTTCGGCTTACCGAAGAATTTATTAAGGCCCTTTATAGTTAAAATTTAAAGTAAAAATTTCTTCTTTTCTCTAAAAAAAATTACTTTAGTTAAAAAACAAGCTAAAACGCTGAAGTCCAGTACCTCGATTATAAGATAACCGATACTCAACTTAAGGGAGCACAAGAGAGATGGAGATAAGCAAGCAGAAAAACTTTTTCCGGAATTGCAGGGCGCCTAGTGGCAATTACATTATTCGGGCATCACATTTTAACAAATGGTTCCATTTGTAAAATGTACACATATGGCTATAGATATAACAAAATTAAATAAATTCAAACTTACACATAATCCTTAAAATTGTAGTCGAGGCAGATTTTTTTGTCGTGCAGTTTCCTCTACTGGTTTTATTGTGGATTTTAACCAGCAGTAACGGTGGCTCGAACCGCTTCAGATAAGTTTTACTTATAAATATTATTTGCCGGTCATACAGCTACTTTTTCGAAACCCATTTTGTAAAACTTTTTTATGACTCCTGGTCTAAATCCATAAGCGATTAAATCCGATTCAACGAAAAATAATATATATTTTTCAATTCCTGTAGTTTGTGTGCGGCAATATTCCAATTCCATTTTTCCCAAAACTTCGTACACTCGAAATAATTCCATTGCCGCACCAAGTTTTCATATCCGAGTGCCAAATTATTTTCAATTGTGCACATCCAATAAGATAAATATTTCTAGTCGATCTATTTATTTATTTCACTTATGCTCCTGAAATATATTTTTAATTCCAAGTGTGTGTAAAATATAACAAAGCCTCATTGAAATGTCTTATTCTTTAAAGTGGTCCGCAAAAAGTTGCACTCATCACTATACCCCTCATTTGAAGAGTTAAATAGAGCTTACTAGATTCGTCGAAAGTATTTAAAAAGTATAAGGAAGCGTTTTCGCTTCTTGATTCTTGATCAAAAAAAAAAGAACAGCCCAGACCTCTATTGGGGCATTTGAGTTCGGAGCGTGCAGACACGTCATTACCTGTCGTAGGTCCGTGTCCGACGAGTCAAAGAACGGGATGGGATTGTTTGGCACGGCCATAATCACGTCCCACTTCACGACTAAGAAGCAAGCGACATTTGAGATCGCCCATTAGAAATTTACTTTTTTCGCCAGCTTAACGAATGACGTCGGTCGAGCCTTTCCCCGGATATCCCTATCCATTTTCGTTACAATCTCGCTAGCATAAGCTGGTGGTTCCTGCAAGGCATCTTAACTTCCTCAGGGCGAAAGTCTTATGAGGTGTCATCTCTTCAACTTTCGTTGGCTTATCTGATACATGGTCGATAGTGGATTTGCCCGAAAGCTACCGGCAAGGACCTAATGGTACACAATGGTATTTACCCTTCAACTGGGGGAAGTAGTTATCAGACCTGCTTAGGTCCTCCCATCTACCGTTTAAGTTAACAAGTTTCCTGTTGGTCCCCCTACACAGTCATTGGCTTACGGCCGTGAGGTATGTCACTTATCTATACTTATACAATAGCTGATAACTGTAGGTATTATGAAAAAAATGTTAAAACGGGCTCAGCAGTATGGTCTTGACACAAGGCTTGAACGCTACTAGGGTACGAAATCGAAAGAAGGCTGATAAAACAGAGTATTTCTAAGGGAAATACGTTTATTTCTAATATCTTAAAGCAGCTGCAAAAAATTGATCGATTGGAACCAGAGTGCAACATGCTGGAAGCCTTGATCATATCATCCGAAATCCACACACTGCTCTAGAAAGCGAAACAGAATATTTCCACCAATGTTGGTCAACATCACATGCACCCAAAACACCTAGAAGTAGCCAAGTTTTGACAGTACCAGGCGACTTTTTATTTTCCTATAAATTCTTAACACAAAATTGAACTTCGTGATATTTCCATGATATTTGGGTGATCCTGAGTAAAAGTCTCATACAACCTTTTTATCCACCACCTACAGGTTCCGCGATATACCTAAGAATAACAAGAAGGAACGCTGTAGTCGAGTACCTCGACTAGTAGATATCCGTTACTCAGCTAAAGGCACCAAAGGGAAATGGAGATATGCAAGCAGTAAAGCGAGATTGAAATGCGCCACCTATCCGCGATCTCAATATATGGTTATGTGGGCGGTAGACAGATTTAAGCGTTATGAGCGTTAGAGTGGGTGTGGAAAACTTTTTTTGTTCAGTTCAGTAAAAAATTTTTTTCAAGCATAAAAATTGTTGTCGCCACAGGTTTAGGCGGTTTGTGGGCGTTAGAGTTGGCGTGGCATATTTGCGTAACAAACTTGCGCTGCGTACAAGGCTACGAAATCTACATTTGAAATCCCAATTTGGTGGTTTCTGAAATATCTCATATTTACGATTTTTTGAAGTTTGTGGGCGTTAAAGTGGGCGTAGCAAACATTTTTTTTGGGTCAATCGATAGGTTTTGATGATGATACATTTCAGTTAAATATTCTATCTATTAAATATTCTATCAGTTAAATATTCTATCTATCTATCTATTCTAGCCTTAAAACTGTAGGAGCCACCGGTTTTTGGTCGTTTTTTATGTTCTTGGCTATACCGCGGACCCTGTAGGTGATGGGACATAAGTTTTGTTGGTCTGCGCGCTACGAAATTCGTGCTGCTAGCTCAGTAGATTGTGTGTTCGACCCACCGAAGTATTATGGGCAGTCATACCCCGATGATCTGTAACAAAGCATTCAAAGGTTAAACGTGGTTTTACGAGTATTCTCGGCTAACTTATTACAGCGGCTCTATTGGTTTTGGTGTCGTCACGCGTTGGAGATGCTCTTGAGGTCCTCAGGTGTGCTTGCTTAGGGAAGCGACAGGAAGATACCTAGGAAGACGAATGTTCCACCTTGGCATCACACTATTCCTTGTCGTCCTTTACGTTCCTGCGCTACTCAATGAGTTTTCAGCGGCGGTCGTGAAGTGGGTGCCGGTGATGACCACGGATGCCGCTGCCGATGTCCCCTGCTCCGACATGCTTGCTGCGATGCTTTTTGCATCGTGATCTCAGGCCCTTGAGGTCTTGGACGATCGCCTTTCCGGAACTTGCTGTACCTTTGGGCTACTCCAGGACAACACCTCTTGAACGCCTTAACCAGTCGACTGCTTGCGCTTGTTTTTCATTGGCACTCGGAGTTTTGGTCAGTTGCTGGTTCGGGACTTCGCCGGTAATCGCCGGTAAAAAACCAGGACAACGCCTCTTGAAACCACAAACTCATTCGGGTAAGGCACACTGGGTTTAGACCACTTTCCAACCGAGCTCACGGTTCCTGGTCGCAGGACTGTACTGCTCAACTCTGATGGACCCGCCGGGCGATATGCCAGAAACAAAACGCATTGATTTAGCTGTGAGATGTTACCAGTACCTAGCTTCCTGTGTCTCAATTCGGAGATTCCTAATTTCCCAATCCCGAATCGACGTAGCGATCTTGCTCCTTGTGGTTGCTCATTGGCAGCTGCTTGACTGGTTCTTTGACTTTGATAACCGACTGATCTTGATTAACTTACTCTTCGTTATCGACTGATCCAGCTGCCAGTGCTGTGAGCACTCTCCACTCCAGGTCCAAAGTCCATGGATCCGGCTTGTCCCCTTTGTCCTCGACCCAAGGCTTCCACCTGGAGTCCTATGTCTTGGAGCTGTCCTGCTGATCCTCCTGTTGCATGTGGCACGCATGCGCGCCGTCCAGCTGCTGAGATGTGGCACGTCTTTTGCTGGTCCAAAGTTCACGGCAGAGTCCAAGGTTCCGTAAATTCCTCTTGCAAACGACACCCTCGCTCTGCCCTTGAAGTCCCTACTCTCTCTCTCCAACCTCTCGTTCTCCAAACTCTCGTCCAATTTCTCGATCTCTAAGAGGAAAACTAGAAATTGTTGGATGTTTAACTGTGTTATTAACGGAATTTTAAAATAAAAGTCAAAAACAAGATAAAATGATATAGTCAATGGTCTCGACTAATAGAGGGATGGAGGTATGCTTAAAGCAACTCTGCTTTTTTCGCTAACACACGTAGCCTATTGCGCCCCACCAAGCCTATAGCGCCAATTAGCCTGTAAAACCCCTAGCGGCTTTGTGGCGTATTAGTGAAAACAGCTTATGAATAAAAAATAATAAAATATCTAAGGAATCCGCTGGTTGGCTAAAGCTCTGCCAGTCGCAGCTATTTCGTTCCTTCACGCGTCTCTTTAATGTTATATTTCTTCTTTCATGTTATCTAAAACAGTGGAAGCATGCGAATATGTTATGGTGGATTATTTTCGGGCCATAAGCCTTTTGCCAACCTTCTCAACCTAAAAAAGGTTTTTGGTGTTCATCTCTTCCAGGACGCAAGTCCGAATCTTCAGTTTGGTTTCATGTGTCTGCATAACGCTTCTGTGCAAATGCGTCGGGTGGTCAACGGTATCTTTAAAGCCCTTTAGACGAAAAAAAATTGTTGCGGAATATTTTTAGATGTCAAGCAAGCCTTTGATCGAGTCTGCAGTGCCAGACTTACTCTTTAAGTTTAGAAGCATTCTTCCCCCGACATACTTTGACCTCCACCGCTCAATTCTTTTTGTCAGAACCTTCCAGGTTGATGTTCGAGGATGTAAGTCTGCTTCAAGGCCTCTACTTGTGGGAGTCCCTAAAGAAAGTGTGTGAAGTAACACGTTTATAAAATAATGGAATCCTGCCAAGCCAATCTTTTAAGACATATGATACATTTTTTTGAGATCTCAAAATTAATCCTGCTTGTACATCTATCACTAAGACTGCCACTATCTACAGATCACGACTAGTCTCTCACACAAATAGACTTGCTCTCACACTTTTCAGACCTATGAAAAGAAGAAGTCTAAAACGATTAGACAACTGCATACTTGGACCGCTTGCACTCGAAAGTGAATTGAGTCTCACAAAAGACACACAAATAAAACTTATTGTTTGTTTTTTAAACAAAAAAGTGAGAAAATGAAAAAAAAATATATACATCTGTTTGTGCCTAACCGAAGTAGACACTTCTGGGTCACACCGCGGGACAAGGGGGTAATGAGCACTTGTCGCTGGCACGGGGACGCTTTGATGGCAGGACGATCGCGTCCCGGCAATGGTAACGATGGTTACTGCGATGCCGGACCACAGGCGATGAGGGTGAGCTAACGTGGTTAGCTGCTAGTTGAGATAGAGTATTACGAGCCCTATTCCCAGATGTGGGATGTAGAACCGCGCAGTTATGAGGTGTGTTGATAACTGATTTATTCTTCATTTGGTACTTGTTTATATACTACTTGGAGGGGTACCCTCAATTAAGTCGTGATGTCGGTCAGCCCTTGGCCGAATTATATAGGAAATACCTAACAAATCATTGACCGAGGTGGATCCTTCATTCAACTGCGGCGGTTCAGGTATTGATTCAGGTCACTCATACCTTCTTGATGCTGCTTAGCACTCCCCGTTGCGAAAAAATTTTTTAAACATTACCGTGGGGACTGAAATTGTGGCCTCGTTGAACTTGATTATTTGGCACGTCTGTGGTATGTGGACTTTCTGCAACAACACTTACGTATTTCTTCGTTAAATTTAAAAATGTTGAACAAAAGTCAGGCTTCTTATTGGTTTTAAGTTGATGGGAAGTCGGTTCTGTATCAATTGGTTTTTCTTTTGTAGTATAAAGTTCAGTTAGCTGCAATGAACTATAATGTATAGCGGTTGATCCTCGATCGGACGAGTCAGTGTCGTTAGTTCTTGATTGGCTACTTATATCTTCATGCTCCTTTATTTTATGATCTATCAATGCTAAGTTCGTTAAATTAATCCTTTTTTCATCGAGTGAAATCTCATTCTACCGTTTGCTACCTTCAATATCATTCACTGGATTTTTATCTTTCGTTTGCTGATAAGCAGCGCTCGGTCCTGCAAGATCATCTCTGTCTTGTACCAGAATAGGGTTGATTTCCGTATCAGATGAGGTTTCTTTATCGAGAAAACCTGTGATTACATAACCAAGCCTTGTGCCCTGGGCCAACGGTCTATTAGGTCCTAGTTCAAGAAGTTCACCGTTTATAGCCCGAGAAAATACTTCAACCCCTAAGGTTAGGTCAATCGGTCCTGGTTGCCGAAAGTCAGGATCTGCTAACGGCAGTCCCTCGGGAATATTAAGATTGGGTGCAATCGGTACTGAGAGCTGGTCTGTAATGACTGTGGGCATAATAAATACCTCTAGTAGTGTTTCAAACCCTGATGTACATGATGAGAGCTTTAGTTTTGATCTGATTGCTGTTGATATTTTTCTCCGATTCCAGATATTTCAATCGGTGACAGATAGCAGATCTGCCATCCTCCTTGAGATAAGATTAACCTGTGATCCACCATCTATTACAGCGCGACATGTTTGTAGGTGATTTGTTGGCCCTTGTAATGATACCTTGGCGGTCGCGAGCAGAGTATATCGTCTAGGGTTGTCGTAGCCTGCAGTGCGCCGGCCACTGTATTGCTTGTTGGTCCTTGGTGTAACAGTGAATGATGCCGTTGCTGGCAGACTCGAAAAGTGGTTGGTGATCCACAGTTTTCAACCTTATGAGCTGTAGACAAACAATTTGTGCATGCTCCTAACTGAATAATGGCTTGGCGCCGTGCTTTGGGGTCCATTTGCTGGACACGGCTACATGCTCTAAGATTATGTTGTCCTAGGTGACAAATCTTACAGCTCTCTTCGTTGTGAACTGACTGATGGCGGAGTGTTGCTGCAGGTTAAGCGCTTATCGTCTCCAGCATGCAAGCGCGCCGCTCAATAAACGTCAGTACACTCCTTAACTAGTTTTATTCTGATAAGAAAACGCAGGATTGGATCCCAGGATTTTGTGCTGATATCGAGGTTTTTAAGAGTACTCATTGAGTTTTTTATAGTGTCATGTAAGGCCCTTAGTTGGCGCGAGAAGCCTTCTATAGGCAAATCATGGAACCGTGCCAGTCTACATACTTGCCATTGAACTCCGGAATGCTAATTGGCGGAAGTGACAAGTTTAGGCTCATTGGCGGGTCGTTTTCTCGAAACAGGTTCATTTCGTATTCCTCGTATAATGTGTGGAATTGGGCTAGCTCTGCTTCTGCCAGATCTGCGGCCCCAGGTGAGCTTTCTAATTCGTCGTGGGCTTGCCTCAGTAACGCCCAATGAAGATCCAGGTGCCTTTGTAGGGCTGGGGTGACGGTTTGGCCGTTCGAGGCTAATGTTAATGATGATTCCAATTCGATGCATCTTCTCTGCAACTGTCGGATCACCTTGTCAATTGCAGAGTCTCCTTTGACTTGATCTCCTGTTGTGATCTTAAAGTTGGACGAAGTTCGTCTGGGCAGTCGGCATGTTGTCCAGAAATATTTTCTGATATTTTTTGACCAACTCCTTAAGTGTAGCTCATTTTTGTAGTCTAGTAATCGATTGTGTAAATCGATTCTTGTGTGACTTGTTTCCTCTATGAATGAAGTGGACATATTGTGTGTCTTGGAAACAAAGAATCCTGTGAAGCCGGATAAAGCTGTGTGTCTGTGAAGCTGGATGAAGCTGAGTATCCTGTGAAGCTGGATGAAGCTAAGTATCCTGTGAAGCTGGATGAAGATGAGTATCCTGTGAAGCTGGATGAAGCTGACCTTCCTGTGACGCTGGAAGAAGAAGGGTATCCAGTTAGAGGTTCAGCCTTTGGTGGGAAGGGGGTTGATTAAGTGTGATCCTTTGTTGTTAAAGGATCACGTCGAGGTCACCAATGTTTGTGCCTTAAGCCTAGTACTCAGATCGGCTAAGAGTTTCACTAGTCGAAAAATCTTATTCTTTGTAGTATGACCGAAGTTTTCAAAGTTTTCCCGCAATGCATGTGGCATGGTCTTGCTGTCAAGCAGCTGGGTTTGTTCCCAAACGGAAAGCAAATCAAATAGAGCTATTTAAAAAAAAAAGAGCCTCCTGGTGCACAAAGAAATTAAAATAAAAATAAATTAAATGTTCAACGAATGTAAATTTATGTAAATTATAAGTTTAAGGCTTCCTTCTAGTCCCACGGGTGCTTCGCCATCTTTCCCGTGCCATCTGTAGTCCAGCTCCGAATGCCAATAGGCATATTGGACCTTGAGGAAGTGGGAGCAGAATTGGGAACGGGGTTTTTCCGCCTGATACTGCATGAAGTCTTCCAGCATCCTGGTAATGGCTGGCAGCCGGCGCGTCCTCCATCTCCGCTTTAGCTGCCAAGTAGCTGGTGGAGGTGGAGTGAACAACGGAGAGCTCGTCGGAGATCGAGCCATGTCCCATGTTCCTTCCCACTGGGATTCTCTAGTGGATCGCCTCCAGCACTTCAACTATACTGCGGATTTGCCCCGTGGTGGTATTGCTTCCTGTCGGTCAAATCCCAATAATGGGCAACAGCTAGGATTGGGTGCTCTTTTTGTCCTCACTGACTTCTTTTAGGCATTTTTCTTCCATTTTCAATTTTTAAATTCCCCACCGCTTCTGCACGAACACCGCCAAAGATTAAATTTCTTATTCTTAGGGCCGCGGCTAACGGCGTTCATCGAAATTCACTCGCGAAATCTGGTATTTTTTCTGGTATTTCCTTAGCTTATCTGAGTACCGCGCTGAAAAACAGACCCGACGAAAAACGTTAGCTGCGTATTTGCCTCTCGCTCACTCCTATGGTTAGCTCCCGGTTTTCGTCGATGTGAGTAATAGGCTTAACCGAAGTAGACACTTCTGTGTCACACCGCGGGACAAGGGGGTAATGAGCACTTGTCGCTGGCACGGGGACGCTTTGATGGCAGGACGATCGCGTGGCGGCAATGGTAACGATGCTTACTGCGATGCCGGACCACAGGCGATGAGGGTGAGCTAACGTGGTTAGCTGCTAGTTGAGATAGTGTATTACGAGCCCTATTCCCAGATGTAGGATGTAGATCGCGGAGTTATGAGGTGTGTCGATAACTGATTTATTCTTCATTTGGTACTTGTTTATATACTACTTGGAACAAGGAAGTTTAGTGTAATGATTAGTGAAGTAAGCTATATTCTAAAGTAGGTAGGTAGGTCAGAGAGTTTTGATTATGGTAGCAGTTTGCGTAGTTGCCTGACACTGCAAAATGTGCTGACTGCATTAGCGGGTCAGTGTGCCGTTGAGTCGGTGAGACGGCGAGTTCGTGTGATATATAATATGCTGATCAGCAATTCTCATATGCAGTGGGTGCTACTGAGCGCCTGGTACTGTTCCAAACTTGGCTACTGCTTGATTTGTTGGTTGTGGTCATGTTGAGCACTTTGAGTACGAACAACATCTAAGCTAACAAACTCTTAAAAGTAAAGTCAAAACACAATTAAATGAAAATATAAGATATTTAATAAACATACCTTCAAAAACGAAACAACTTTAAATATAAACAAATTTCATACAAGAAACCTCAAAACACTACCTTAAAATCGAATAAACATATAAAAAAAGTATATACAAAGTTTTTTTGTTTTTAAAGCACACTTAAATTATAACCAAAGGAAACAAAAAATGAAATCTAATGACTACAGCGGGATTCATCCCCATACAGCTTAGATTGGTAGTCAGATGTGTTATCCTTTAGAACAAACGACAAGCAGGGCCTCCGCCGACTAGATGCCAAATAGAATCCAGCACTGCGAATTCCACCGCTAGAACCCGCCATACGACAAAATTTATTGTATGACATGTCGCCTCTATGTATTTATGCTCTTTGGTGTCACCTTCCCACATTTACCAAAAAAGCTCGTTGAATCAAAGGCGTGTGCTCTATCTTAAAGTTTTTAGACTCAAATGGGCGTGAGTCGACTTCTAAAATTTGCTTAAGCTGTAAAAAAAAAAATACGACGAGTGAGCGACGGTATGCAAATTTAACTGCATATTTTGGATTTTAACAATAAAATCCCAAAAGAGCTGTTGATCTCAGCTATTGAAGGAACACTCTTTCAAAATATTGGAGGATAAGCTAGTTTATTTATTGATCTTCAAAAAAAAAATCCAGAGCCCGTGAGTATGCTTGCGAAACGGACGCAGTGTCCTTACCCTCGACTACAGATATGGCTCGAACCAACTTTCATTGCAATAGCGGCAAATTAATTTCCTTGACTATGAACATGGATCAAATTTAGTAAAGCGGATGTCTTTTTGTGTCTCGCTATAACCCCGTTTATTTAATAGTCATATAATGGATAACTGCTGCTTAACTGTCTAAATTTGGCAGCAGATCCTTTGCGTTTTCGACTGCGCCCTATAAAATAAAATGTTGTTTCTTCTGTTGAAGAATAAGTTGGAATGTCATTCTGAGTATGTGGGTCAAATATGTCAAGTCAATATATATATTATAATATTGCAATATAATATATATTAAAACAATATAAACGCATGCATCAAATTTATTTAATGCGAATATATGAATATACGTCAAACTATCATGCGTTTTCAAACATCTAAAAATTGGTCTGTTGATATATCCGACACAATTTCGATGTGAACAGTAAGACTAAGTTTTTTTTGCTTGAATAGGCAAAAGTTTAATTACTGGACCGCAAAATCAACATTACAAAATGGTTTGTCCGTTGACGCAGGGAACAGAAAAGTGTACGCCACTGCGTGCTAAGCATATTTTGAGTTTATTTATTGGCTTTTTGCCAGGTCTCAAACTCTTCTCCAACTCGAGCTAAGTCCATGGGCGGTGTCAACGGCAAAGCATCTGTGCGACCTATTACTTAATGCTCAACAGCTTTGGCGCAGTGAAAATTCTACAATGTACAAATTGGTAAGAATAACCTTTCGTATTTCACGATAATTAACTTTTATTTTTGTATCTATTTGCTATTCGCTATGTTCGCCAAAATGTGCCTGAAACGTTCGAATCATTGGGCTCACTAAAACTAGTCTCTGTTGTGTAAGCTGTGGTAGCGAGACGATCATTAATAGCACAACAAGGAACTATATAAAACACATGTCCGTATTGCGTCTCCTGCTTCCTAAAGGATCTATAACGGAATGATTGTTTGGCTGTTATTAGCGTCACTAAAATTTTGAAGGAAGATCCTTAGATGGCAGACGAACCTATATACGATCGTTGTCCATCTAGCGAATAGTCTTCGAATAGATATCTTACGCCAACGATGGACCGGACAAATTGAGTCTAGTACCGATTCAACAGCATATCAGGCATATTGAGGCTTATGTTTTTCATGCTAATTATCCATATAAAATGTGCTGCAGCAGGTAATACTGCTACTGCATCGACAGCGATTTTTGGCAGAATGAAGTAGCGATTCTGATTATGGCATCATCGACAATGGTTTTTTGATGGACCCTGCGCCATGATGTACCTGACAATAGGTTTATTTTCTAAAAGTGTTGAGCTGTGCGTAAGTATGCAAACGGACCTAGAACAGAGTACGCAATAAGAACTAGTGATTGCTAACTATTATCCTCTACCCGATTTATTCTATTTTTTCGCTTTGAAGGAACAGATTCACGAAAACACGGAAAAACTTTAGGCAACAAATAAAATGCCTTTTTTTCATTTAAGCTTTAATAAAAATGCATCAAAAGCCTTATCTAAAATATACATCGAAAAAGACAGAATGGCATAAGAGAAGGCTATTCACTGGGCCTGCTTTTGGAACAGCGTTTTTAGAACCGAATGTTTTTTTGTCTTAAAACCAAATGTGGGGTATTTTGACAAAATGGTATCCTACCTTAAATTTAATAGCTGATATAAAGAAAAAAAAATAATAAAAAGCTTAGCTTATAATTTTTTTTTTTTAATATAACAAGAAACTTTTACATGAGTTATTATGACACTTGTTAAACGAAAGTATTCGTTTTTATGTCTCTCAATCCTCTATCCGACGCTGATGATTTAGGATGGCTTACGCTTTCTTTCCCAAAACACGTACGCCCATTGCGCTGAAGTCTAACAAGAGCCCACATTTCAGAAAATATGTAAATAAAAATCGATTATATTGATCAACCATGCAAAAACGGCTTGGGTACGCCTCAGTCTACCTGGTACGTTCTACATACATTCAATAATCCATTATACAATTTTACTCAACATAACTCATTATTTTGACTCGATTTTATCAGTTTAGAAATGACCACTTCTCTTATTTATAAAAGGGGATAAATCAATATAAGCTTACAGAATGAAGAATTAAGAAGTCTAAATTCACCAAGGAACAGTCTTATACTATCCATAATGGCCTTTACCATTTGGTACGCAACTCGGATTCTAAACACGCATACTGATTCTAGTCAGAAATTTATTCAACATTTCAAGGGAACATTACAAGAATCGAAACTATTTATGTTCTTCTCCTTCGTGCTGCTCTTAAATTTATTTTATAAAAGATCCTAGTATAAATATTAAACTATATTAATTTTAGTTAAGAAACAGTAATTTTAAATATACTAAATACGAAAGAGTTCTGTTGGTTAGTTTTCTTACCTCTTCGCAGAGAGCAAGCATACGTCGCGTACTTTCCAGGGACTGAAATGAAAATAAATTATTTTAAATTAATGTATTACACAAAAATATTAAAGATAATTTGTTTACGATAATACTTTGGTTGGCCCAATTGCCCATGTGAACCCGTACTTTCATTAAGAACTTGTAGGCAATTCATATGCCTCTCTTCGGTGTTGTGTTTAGTTGTTAACTTCAAATTTATTGTGAATTTCATTTACAGCAATAAAGTAATACATAAGAAAGTATGAGAACATCCTGGAGAAGAAGACAATTACAAAATAAAAGAATTCGAGTACCTCGACTGTCAGGTACCCGATACTCAGCTGAAGGGACAAATGGGAAATGGAGATATGCAAGCATCACAGCTAGATTGAAATACGCCACCTACCCGCGATCTCAATATATGGTTATGTGGGCGGAATAAAGATTTAAGCGTTATGGGCGTTAGAGTGGGCGTGGCAATCGATAGGTATTGACGAGACTAATACATTTCAGTTAAAATTTTGTATCTAGCATGAAAACTGTGGGGGCCACAAGTGACAAACTTTTTTTCGGATAAATCGATAGGCATTGTCGAGACTAATACATTTCAGCTAAAATTTTTTATCTAGCATGAAAATTGTGGGCGCCACAGGCTTGGGCGGCTTGTGGCTGTTAGAGTAGGCGTGGCATATTACCGTGACAAACTTGCGCTGAGTACAAGCTACGCAAGCTAACAGGATTCCCAATCATATTGGTCGTCTTCTTGACTTAATCTTTGTTTTTAATAGTAGCGATGCTGAAGTCAGTCGTATTTCGCCACTATCTTTACCTGAAGATTGTTATCATCCTACCCTTCAGCTCTGTATTAATGGATTTTTTGATAATCCTAGGACTGCAATAAATGTACAGCCTAGTTTGTGTTCTAAGAGGACTGATTACGGCAGACTAGTGGAATCTTTATCGACAGTAAGCTGGTCCTTTCTAGTTGACCTTCCTATTGATGATGCAGTTAGGTATTTTTATGAGATCCTTTACCGTCTATTTGATGAACATGTCCCTCTTTCCTCCATGAAGAATTCTTACAGCTCTCCATGGTTTACCCGTCAACTATCTTATCTGAAGAATAAAAAAACAAGACTATTTAAACGGTTCAAAATATCCGGCTTAAAGACAGACTTCACCAAATATAGTTCAGCTAAGGTGGAATTTGTCCAGTACAATTCTGATTGTTACAAAAATTACCTGTCTCGTTGTAAGCGTGATTTCGAAAGTAATCCTAAGCTTTTCTTTTCTCTCGTCAATTCTACACGGAAATCTAGCTGCTTCCCTCCCTCTCTTTTTCTCAATAATAATGTAGCATCTGATGATAATGATATTTCCAACTTATTCGCAGACTTTTTTTAATCGACATATACGAAATGCTATAGTGTCATTAATAAAGATTATCCATAACCACTACCTCATTTGAACTCTATCTTCAAACCAGTGATTGATGTATCTGATGTTCTTCAGAGTCTTAATACTGTCAAGCTCTCATTTTCACCAGGTCCTGACAGAATACCAAGTTGTATACTTAGGAATTGTTCATCTTATCTTGCTCTTTCCTTAACATTGATAACTAATATGTCCCTAAGTCAATGTAGATTTCCATCCATATGGAAGGAATCCTTTATTATCCCATTGTTTAAAAAAGGAAACAAGTCCGATATCTCAAACTATCGTGGTATTGCTAAACTCAGTTCTTTTCCTAAACTTTTTGAAAAAATTATTACCTGTCAGTTGCAGCACCATTGCAGGTCTATTATTTCACCTTGTCAGCATGGCTTCACTAGATGTCGCTCTACATCTACAAACCTACTTGAAATTACGTCTTTAATTACTAGAGGTTTTCTGACACATCATCAAACTGATGTGATTTATACCGATTTCTCTAAAGCTTTTGATTCAGTGAACCATAGGATTCCTATTTATAAATTCTCCCTTTTAGGTTTTCCACCCAACCTACTAGAGTGGATATTTTCCTACCTTCTAATAACTAACAAAGCCAGAAGTCTCCTGGCGTTTATGAAGCGTTGGTCAAGGGAGCTTGATGATCCATACACAATAAAGCTTTTGTATGTTTCTCTTGTTCGTCCGTCAATGGAATATTGCTCGTGTATATGGTCACCTCAAATTAGCTGTTACCAAAATATGTTAGAGTCCGTTCAAAAACAATTCCTTTTATTTGCTATGAGAGGTTTAAACTGGGACACAGGAAGTCGATTGCCCTCTTATCATGCGAGGTTGCGCCTGCTGGACTTACCAACCCTGAACCATCGTAGAAAGTGTCATGGAGTTATGTTTTTGCATAAATTAATTAATGGTGATGTCGACTCTCCCTCCCTTCTTAGTTCCCTCAACTGGAATGTACCCTGTAGAACAGTTCGTCGTTTTCGTCCGTTGTCCCTGCCAATTTGTAGATCCAAATATGCCCTTTATGATCCTTTTCGGGTTCTTTGTGACGACTATAATGCACTGTGTCACGTCTTACTGTTTGATAGCCCTAATGCAACTAATTATGATAAACTTATATATTTTCTATCTTCCAATAATTTGTAAATTTCTATGCTACTAGCCATTCTATGTGAGCATGTACTTTAAACTGTCTATTGTTATGTCGTCTTTTTCCATGTCCGCGATTTCGTTTACTTGGCCAAATCGGTTTAGGGTTTCGCGCGTAACAAGCATTGCTTGGTGTCGTAAGGGCCACTTGTTTGTACTGACCATAGTGCATCAACGTCCAAGAATAATTAATTAATTAACTAGCGAGCTACTGAACTTGCCTCTGATTGCATGTGAGGCACTGATCCTGAAATAATGGGGTGGTACTCTGCCCCCTATCTGTGAAGAAGCGAGCTATGAGGATTTTAGCAAACTTAACCTTACTTTTAGTTGACTCCTCGGCTGCTAAACCCAGACCATGTCGGAAATTTTTATACCCGTTACTCAAGAGTAAAAGGGTATACAAGATTCGTCGGAGAGTATGTAACAGGTAGAAGGAAGCGTTTCCGACTTCTTAAAGTATATATATTCTTGATCAGGATCACTAGCCGAGTCGATCTAGCCATGTCCGTATGCAAATTAATTTTCTCACTAGTGAACTAATTAAAAAAATTTATTTTTATTTTATATAATCACTTATTCACTATTAAAATTTTTCAATAGGTCGAACTTATTTTATTCGCTGCTCTTTTACTTTCGCCCGATTTATTTAACTGCTCGATTCAGATCGCAAAAACGTACTCCCCTGCCTCGAGATCAATGATCAATAATCAAACCTCGGCTTAAGAGATTTATCCCCAAAATTTGATAAAGAGAATGACTCAAGAGAGTCGGAAAAAAGGATGATGCAATTTGCCAATTATATTTTAAGTCCAAATTCGGTCGGGAATTGGTGTTTACATTAGCGGACTTTAGGGATCGCTTTGGGGATCTTTTTGTTTACTTTGGCGGACTCAGGGCTCGCTTTGGGGATCTTTTTGTTTACGTTGGAGGACTCAGGGCTCGCTTTAGGACTTCGATCTGTACAATATCGGCTTGGATGCATACAGCATCCGTTTGATGCGAACTGCGTTAATCTGATCTGGGTGGGAATGATTTGGAGGCGTAGTTAACAGAAATAGCTGAACACTGATTTATCTCGGGTCTGTCAGAGTTATTTGGAAAGTAGCTCTCGGCTCAAAATTGTTTATAAATTGGGTAAGAGCCCCTAAATAATGTGTCATATAACTTGCACGCTGTGATCTAGGAAACTATAAAAGCTGCAGTACTGGGACTAGGCATGCAGATTCTAGAGATTCCTGCGCAGATTCCACTCTAACGCCCACAAACCATCCAAAACTGTGGCTTTTACATTTTTAATGCAAGAATAAAAACTGAAATGTGTTGTTCTCATCAATACCTTTCGATTCACTCAAAAAAAGTTCGCCACGCCCACTTTAACGCCCACCAACTTCGAAAAAATCGTACATTTGAACGCGTATATTTCAAAAACTATCAAAGATAGATAATTGGGATTTAGACTTAGATTCCGAAGCCTTGTACGCGAGCCCAAGCTTGTTACGCAAATATACCACGCCTAATCTAACGCCCACAAGGCGACCAACCCTTTGGCACCAACAATTTCCAAGCTAGAAAAAAAATTAAACTGAAATCTATTAGTCTCGTTAATACCAATCGATGAACCCAAAAATAGTTTGACATGCCCACTCTAACGCCAATTACGCTTAAATCAGACTGGCGCCTACATAACTATATATTGAGATCGCGGTTAGGTTGCGAGGTTTACGAAGGGGCGAACATCGTTGCGCTTGACTGGGGCGATGTCCCCAGTAGACCCCGAGCCACGATCTGGCTTCCAGCAGCGATCAAGGCGCCGGAGGACATCCTCTTCATGTTGCAAGAATGCAACCCGCACCTCCCCGCGAAGGACTGGAAAGTCGTCAAGGTGGAGGAGCATGAAGGGGATGTCACCCAGGCGGTTTTGGTCCTGAACAAGGAGTCAGTAGCTCCGATCGAGACTGCTCGAGGAGTGCTGAACTTCGGGTTCAGTGCGATACACATCAAAGTGTATAAGGGCGACTCCAAAGCCACTAGCAGCTCTGCCGGCAACTCAGCCGAGCAGGTGCTTGCTGAGGAGTTGGAGGCACCTGGTGGGCCGGAGGACGGCTACTCTACCGATTCGTCGCTAAGCAGAGAGATGCGAGCGCTCGGACCGGCAATCGAGGACGTAGACCTCAGCGACACAGAGGAGGCCGACGTCACTGTGGTGGAGGTTGAAGCTGTAGATGTCACTAAGACTTCTACAAATAAACCTTCACCACAGTAAAGCAGCGTCTGCTGCACTTCTGCTTCGCCTGACAGAAGGCGGAGCCGACCTAGTCCTCGTACAGGAACCTTGGGTAGTAGGAGGCAAGGTTGCTGGACTAGGAACAAAGGAATACAAGCTTTTGCTTGACCCCAAAGAAGGTAAAATTCGAACCTGCATATTAGCCAAAAGG